TGCAGGGGAGTAGGGCACAGAGATTTATAAGGGGCACAGTGATGGTCAATGCTGACTACCAGCATGATAGGATCTAGACTCCTAAGTAGGAGACAAGCCTCAGGGCACATCTGTGAGAGATTCTAGATGGGGTTACCTGAGGAGGGAAGACCCACGCTGGATGTAGGCAGCACCATTCCATGGCACTGGCTGGGGTCCTGGACTCAACGGGAAGGAAAGCAAGCTGAGCGCTGGCCTTCATCTTTTTGTGTCTCCTGACTATGGTCATGTGTGAGCAGCTGCCTCATGCTCCTACTACTGTGGCTTCCCCACCATGATGAACAGTGCCCTCAGACTGTGCGCCAAAGTACACCTTCCCTTTCTTCCTTTACTGTCACAGAAGTGGCATAGCTGACAAAGGGCCCCGAGTCCTGTCTCTTACCTCATTTAGGCTCTACCTGGAAGTGGAGGGACTCTGGCACCATGCTCTTCTCAGCCTCCTGAACTAAGAGCTGAAGTGAACTGTTCTTTATAACTCACTGGCATTTTATTATAGCAACAAAAATAGACTGAGACAGTACCTAACACATCAAACATTCGAGAAATGACTGATTGACTGACTGAATGAATAAATGAATGGATGCTAAATAAAGAACCCATCCGAATGATACACTGGAACACAAGGTGGCCTAGGATTCACTCGGAAAATGTCTATTCAAATATGTCATTCTAGTAGCAGATGTTTTAGATGGAAAGAAGCAAAGAAGGGTCTGAGTGGTTAAACGTCGCTAAAGAGACTGTAAAGGGCAGAAAGTCTTGGGAAGGTACTGCCTGCTGCCAGGATGTCTGGTGGAGAAAAATAGCGTGTTTATCTTTTAAGAGGTTTTAAAAAATATATTATGCCATTATAAACAGTAACTCAATTAAGTAAATTGTTTAGCTGAATTTTTCATTCTGAATACAAATGAGACGCATTATGTGGAAAATAGCTTGGGAGAGGCCTCGAGGAGGGTGGACGTCTCTCTCAAGAACCGGTGACGGATGTCCACAGTGTGAGGCACGCTGATTGCACCACTTTCTTAGGCCATCTTTTCCCCTTCAACCCGTAAGCCTTGCTTATGACCCAAATGAGAGGCGGCTTACAGAGACAGACAGACAGACAGACAGACAGACAGAACTATGCATCAGGCTCAGTGGCCGCTGTGCTTGGAATGTGGACCGACCCCTGACCCCTTCTGTGGTATGATTTGGAAGGTTGTGGAGCTTTTAGGAGGTAGGGCCTTGCCGGATGACGTAAGTACGTCACGGGGTGGGGGGATGGCGGTGGGCTTCAGGCCCTCAGGCCTCATCCCCCACTTACAGTTCTCTTTAAGTCTCCAGTGCATGAATGAGGATGACCGGCCAGCTTCCTGCTTCTGTAACGTGCCTTCCCTGACTGCTGTCACGTCTTCCCCTGATGGACTCTAGCCCTCTGACCCTTTTCCCCCTTAAGTCTCCTTGTTAGGGCATTTTATCATAACAAGAGGGAAGGAGGCCAGGGGAGGGACAGCTGGGGTGGAGAGATGAAGTTCTCCGGACAATAGGCATTTCCTATTGGTGCAGAAAGACCTTTGATATTTTTCACATTAAAATTTCATTTTATTATTTATTTAGAGCGTGTCACATGTGTGCCATGACATGCGTGTGCAGGTCAGAAGATAGCTTGTGTGTGTGGGGGAGCTCTCTCCTTTGATCATGTGGGTTCCAGGAATGGAACTCAGTTGTCTGGCTTGGAAGCAGGTACTTCTCACCGGCCCAGATTTCAATACTTTTCTTTTAGTCACCAGCTCTCTCTATGTAACTTGAACTGAGTATTTCAAGCTTTAAACAACCAACACAACCACTCTGTACGGCCAGCCAGCAGCCAAATAGCATCTCCTTGACATCTCTAGTGCAGATGGCACTACGCCTGCAGGTAGGCATTTAGTATCTGCTGAAAGAATGAGATACAGAAAGCTGGGAGATAGGTCGGTTGGTAAAGTGTCTGTCTTGCGAGTATGAGGACGTAAGTCTGATCCCCAGAACCCATGTAATAGAAAGTCAGGCGTGGTGGTGTGTGCCTGTGTGATCCCGGTGATGGGGAGGTGGAAACAGGCAGATCCTTAGGGCTCGCTGGCCAGGTTGTCTAGCCTACTTGGCAGGTTCCAGGCCAATGAAAGACTGTCTCAAAGGAATAAGTAAAAAGTGAACAGGATTGGAAGAACAACATCTGAGGTTATCTTCTGACACCCCTCCCCTCAACACACACACACACACACACACACACACAGACACACACACACACACACATACACACACACACACACACACACACACACACACAGGATGAGATAAACACTGGACCACAATTGGAATAATTAGCCATTTCCTCATCAGGAAGGGCAGGATCTGAGATCTGGTCTCACTTGCTTTCCCTTCTTCTAAAGAAAGACTGGTGAGGAGAATGTGAGGGTTAGGGGAAGCCATGTGATCCAAACTGGTCTTGTACACACAGTCATGAGTTTTGGCCTAATTCTTCAGCCCTTCCTGTCACCCTCTATTCCAGGCTAGAACAGGCTGCTATTGTCTTGCCTGCTATGAGCAGGTTCTATGAGAAGGATATCTCAGGTAGCAGAAAGAGGGCTTGGGGAAAGCCAGGCTGTTCCAACTGATTCTAGATCCAGCCAGACCTGGAGAGTTCCCCATCTTTAACAGGTTTTTGAACTGGTTTGTTTGAATTGTGTGAATCATGTTGTCTTGTCTTTGTTGCTGCAGATCCTGTCTAATTGAGGTGGAAGGATGAACTTCATCAGAAAAAACACAAGTGTATGTTTTCTCTTGTGGGGGTGTTTGTGTGTGTGTGGGGGGGTGTGTGCACGTATTGTGTGATGTATGCATGTGTGTGGAGAGGTGTGCACAGGTGTGCACTCCCATGTGCTTCTGTGTGGAAACCAGACAAGTTTGCTAGGTGGCTTCTTCTATAATTTGCCCCCTTATTCCTTTCAGATAGGCTCTCCCACTGAACCTTGAGTATCCTAGTTTGCTTCCTGACTGCTTTGATAAACACTATGACTAAAAGCAACTCAGGAAGGAAAGGGTTTATTTCATCCTATAGCAGTATGTCACAAAGGAAGCCAAGGCAGGAACCTGGAGGCAGGAACTGAAGCAGAGGCCATGGAGGAGCGCTGCTTCCTGGCTCACATCCCGTGGCTTCTTCAGCTTGCTTTCTTAGACAGTCTAGCACCATCTGCTCATGGGTAGCACCTGATCAGTGAGCTGGGCCCTCTCACATCAATCAATAATAATAATAATAATAATAATAATAATAATAATAAACCTCACAGGCTTACCTACAAGTCAATCTGATGAAGGCATTTTCTTAGCTAAAGGTCTCTCTTTTCAACTTGTATCAAGTTAACAAAAAAAAAACTTAACTCAAACTTGTCATTTTTCTGCTAGACTGGATAGCATAAAGACCCAGGGATCCTCCTTAGTCCATCAAGTATAGTACTTGAGTTACCCGCGCATGTGATCATACTTTTTTTGGCATACACTTGGGATTTGAACTCAGGTCCAAATGATTGTGCAGCAAGCACTCTTACTCACTGAGCCATCTCCCCAGCTCCATACTAAGTCCAGCTTGGCTATGGCTGGGACACTGTGACATAGTTCCCACCCCTGAAACAGAGCCACCAGGGTATGGGCCTCCATGAGTCAATGGTTGCTGTGGGTACAGGGCTTGTTTGTATGAAAATATATATTTTATTTCATGTTCCTCCTTTGAGAAATATTCTCCCTGCCAAGGTTATTGGAGGAATGTTCTCCCTGCCAAGGTTAATGATTTCATGACTTCATGATCATCAGAGTTAGCACTTCCTGGTGGCAAGGGTGTGTCTATGTCTCAGCAGAATGGTAAACACTGGGACTTCGGGATGGCCCTTAAGGCTGTAGGAAAGAACTCTGAAAACATGAGTTCAAAAAATATAATTTTTTAACTATGCAAAATATAAGGATGCAATATGAATAGTATAAGGAGCTTCTTCGAAGACCTAAAGGAACAGAGGCAGCTGCACTGTGAAGCAGCTTATCAGAAAGATATAAAGGAAGAATAGAAAGAGATTTAGGGAGTGGTGATAGCAGGGAAAGATCCCATGCAGAAAAGTTGTGCTTACAAAGGCAGGCAGCCTTTGAGTTTAAGGTCAGCCTAGACCAGAGGGAGTTTAGGTCCAGGCCTAGGCATGGCAGGAATGGTAATTTTAGGGCAGGATTCCACCCAGCTAGCTTTCTGTCTATGTTTAACAAAGGAAGGCAGATCTTTGAATTCTATTGCAATGTTAAAAACAAACAAACAAATAAACAAACATGTGTTTGCTGTCTCTTACTAAGAATCAAGGGGCTGGGGTCATGCTGATCCATGGGATAATTGAAAGGGAGCGCAGGGTAATGACTGAGTTACCATGTAAATAAAAGACTGGGCTTTTGATCTGCAAGAGAGGAGCTATTCAGAAGGAGTTTTTAGAATTGCAAGAAAAGAACACACACACACACACACACACACACACACACAGAGAGAGAGAGAGAGAGAGAGAGAGAGAGAGAGAGAGAGAATGCAATCTGGAAAGCTGTCTTGAGCAGAACATAACACATCAGCTTGTAACCCACAATTTGACTTGAGTCATTTGTTTTCCCACTCCCAGACACTCCTTCCTCAGAACCCCTCTCCAAGCTGAGGCCAGTCCTTGACAGCCTCACTTATATGTTTCCTAATTTTAAAAAATTATTTATGTATATATGTGCATGTCTGTCTGCAGAAATGAAAAGAGGGTACAGGATCCCCTGGAGCGGAAGTTAAGGTGGCTGTAAGCACATGGTGTGGTTGCTAGGATCCGAACTGTGGGCCTATGCAAGAACAGCAAGTGTTCTCTGCTGCTGAACCATCTCTCCAGCCCTGTGTTAACTGTCCACATCATGCGGGGTCTTACTGGTTCGCTTTGGGAACTCACCTCTCTCCAAGGAATACATCTGATAGATTTATAAACGTGGGGAAGTCCAGGTCATTCAAGACAGGGTAGGCATGAATGGGAACAAGCAAGGTGTCATCTCCCTGAAATTGGTGTGGAGAAAAGGTTAATTTAGTGTTTGGAAAACTATCATTTTGAACTTTAATCTTTCAAGAATTTCCTTAGGAAACCTCGGTGTTTTAAATAAAACATTAGACATACTGTGTTTCTTTTGTGAGTGTCTGTGTGTGGGCATGTCCCTTTGCATGGATGTGTGCACACATGTGGAGGCCAAAGGACAACTTAGGATATCAGTGTTTAGGTGCCAATCACCTTTTTATTATGTAGAATGGAAGTTACCAAATAAGCAAGAGAACCCCAGGGGTCCTCTTATGTCTGCCTCCTCCTCCTCCTCCTCCTCCTCCTCCTCCTCCTCCTCCTCCTCCCAGTAACGAGATCAACATGGCCAGCATTTTAAAAAAAAGTTTGTCCTAGGGATCAAACTCAGATCTTCATGCTTGCATGGTGAGTACTTTACCAACTGAGGTGTCTCTCGATCCCTAGGAAATCATGTTTCTTAACCACGAACAAAGCACAAAGATGTTCAAATTTATCTTACTACAGCAATGTTTGCTTTTACCCATAGAAGCCAAAGGCAATAATCTCCCCTCTGCTGCTCTATCTGCTTCTACCCGGGGGAGTTATAAAGGAAGGCCAAGAGAAGGTCTGGTCTGCAAGGCAGAGTGGAAAGCCATTCAGCCAAAAGAGAGCACAAAGACCAACTGTAGGTCATTGTAGTTTGGCTGTGGCTGTGAAAAGGTCTTTGATGTCTCTGTGTCTGTACGGTCCTCAGCAATGTGGATGTAGTTAGACTTTCCTCTGAGGATATCTTTAAAAGGCAAGGCTACAGCCTCGAGATGTAAGAAGTACTGCATTGATATGGTATGTCTTTATCAGCTCTCTGACCATATCCACTGGCAGAGGATGTGCTCTGGGGCTCGATGCCTAAGCTTCCTGATTCTGTATGAGATCACAGAACTGAATATGGGGTTATAAAATATTTGGCAATAGTAAAAGGTCCAAGTGCACAAGGTCTAAAAAATTAATTTAAAATCAAATGTTGGAGAATCTAAGATGTTTCTAGTAATACTTGCCCATGGTTCATCTCCTGACATCACTGCAGCCTTGGTTCTGAATACAGGGCATGTACACTTGATTCATGTATGCCCTGAGTCCTAGAAATGCCAGTCAACACTGTCTGAAACACCTTGGCTCAGATTCAAGACTATCGCATACTATTAATTGTAGAGTTTTTATAAATTGTACATATGAAATATTCTGCAGAGTATTTCTACAGAAACATAGCATTTTAATTATGGAAATGGGGTCTTCATTTTTATTGTTTCCTCTTGGCAGTGAAGCTATTTTATTTTTTCTTGGTTACTTCCCAGCCAAGTATCAAGTCTCAAGTGTGGCTTTGGACTGTATTATGTTAGAATGTTCATAGTTTTTTGTGTATTTGTTTGCTTGGTTTTTAGTTTTATTGTGTATGTGTTTGCACACGTGTGTGTTGGTATGCCTGCCTGTGAATGGCTGGGGGAAGATGCTGAGTGCCCTGCTCTATCTGCCTATTCCCTTGAGACAGGGTCTCTCAGTGAACCTAAAACTAGGCAGTCCCTACAATCCTTCTGTTTGTCACAACATGGTGCTAGGAATACAGGCACGCACATTCATGCCCGGGTTTTTACATGGGTTCTGAGAATTTGAACTCAATGCTTTAATCACAAAACTGTCACCCTATCCTTGCCTGTAGGTGAATGAAGAGACCTGGCATAGGCTCCTGAGAGTTCAACCGCCAGGCACCTCAGGCCAGTAGGCTCCACCTCTCCAAGGACTGAGGACTCCACGCCTGTCTGCGGACATTGCTGGAGTCTCGGGCTAGTTGCCAGTGTTTATAACAACAGAATGGGGCTCTATTTATTTTCTAGCTCTGCATTTAAAGGAGCACACTAAGGTTATTTGACAAAGCTTTCACAGGGCCCCACCACTACAGGATAAATGGAGGTTTGACATAGGCAGTGGGGAATTGCAGGGTAGTATCTTCTCAAGGTCCCTGTGGTCTAACCTCTTCCTAGTTGAGATGCAGGCACAGCTCTGAGCCTACAGCCTCATACACCACTCAGAAAGTGCTGAGGGGTAGCCCCGGCTTGGATCCTTCTTCTTCCTTTCAGGTTATGATGTGTTTAAGTGTCAGGCACAGCTAGCGGAGAGAGACCTACTGTGCAGAAGGTACAGCTGTGGGCCATCTAGTCTCTTACAATACTGAGAACTCACAGGTCTGTCTAGCTGCCCTTTGTCCTCCTTCAGGATCAGGATACAAAGTGTTGCCCACCCCACCTCCCACCCCCAACAAATAACAACTTCCAGAAACTCACCTTACAGTGAATGCGGATGCAGTCATAATAGTAACGCCACTCATCTGGAGAAAATTTAATAGTGACCGTGAGTGACAAGCCTGGGATGAGGCGATGCTCCTGGAAGGCAGGTAGGCTGTGTTGGGACACAGCAGCAGCACTGGGGGTGGGATGGGGGAGGGGGAGTCGGGAGGGGGATAAAGGGTGCACACACTCCTGCCCTAGCAGGCCTGAGTCAGAAATCACATCCCTTCCCACATCTCCCTCAGCAGGGAAGGTGACCCAGGGACAGTACCTTCTTCTCAAAGTTGATCTGAAAGTATTTGGTCTGTGGTGGTAAAATATGAAGGTGTGTGTCTTCATCCGAAATATTGGCGATATTCTGGGTGAGAGAAGGATGAGTAAGAATTTGACTTATTTACATATTCATCTCTTCGTTACTTACACCTTAGTATTTTAAATTTTTCAAAAGACACGAAATATGGGCTAGGAGATGGCTCAGCCAGTGATTTCCTTGCCAGACAAGCATGAGGAATAGAGTTTAGATCCTCAGCAACCCACGAAAAAGCTGGTTATGTATGGCAGTAGCAGTTTGTACCTGTGAACCCTGATGCTGGGGAGGAGCCAGGAGAACCCCTGGGGCTCCCTGACCAGCATGTCCTGGATTAGCTCCAGGATCTGTGAGAGACTCTGTCTTAAAAAAAAATATGGTGAATGACTGCAGAAGACACCCATGCCCTCTTCTGGCTTTCTCCTGTATACATACGGGCGCATGTGCTTACATTCACATGTGTGTACATATGCCATACATGTGTGTACATGTGCGCGCATGTACACACACTAACACTCAGAAAGAGATAGAATAGCATTAGGCAAAATTAGCTATTCCTATCTTGTTACAACATGTGTGTTATAGATGTGTCTATGTATTTCATGTAATATGTTTAATATGCTCATTAGCACACATCTTAAAATAAGACATAGAATACTTTTAATTTAAAGTTCTAGATTGTCAATTGATTATCACAAATGACTTTGTTAGGACTGGAGAGATGCCTCAGCAGTTAAGGATGCTTTCCAGATTTACAGAGGTTCAGGGTTCAGTTCCCAGACTCACAGCTGGCCACTTACATCTGCAACTCCAGATCCAGGGAGTCTGAGGACACCCTCTCCTGGGTGCCACAGGCACTCAGATGCATATACGTATACCCCCACCTCACCAGCACACGTAAGCTGGCTCACAGCTACCTGTAGCTTCAGCTCCAGAGCATACAAAGCCCTCCTCTGGCTTCTTAGGGAACTTACACACGTGGCATACATTCACCAGACAACTCTCATATATATGAATAAAATAAAGAGATGACCTCCTTGATTTTTGCCTAAATTTTACATTCATGGCCAACTAATGACTATAGTAAACAAATAAGTGTGGTTCAAAAACAAAACAAAACAAATCCATAAGCATAAGGACTCTCGGGTGGGGTGCGTGGCGAGGCAGGGCGTGCTGTGCCTATATTGTGCTAGTAAGGCCCGGCATCCCCAGGCCCTAGGAGAAGACACTGCTACTCATGGTCCTAATTTTCAGAAGCAACATTTGGGGGAAGGGTAGAGTTCTTAAAAGCTGTATCAGAGAGTTGAACAGTATATTACAGAAATCCTAAGGTCACTGCCATTGTAGGTTTAATAAATTTTGTCTGGGCCTATAAACACACTGGATGTCTCCTAGGAAACATGATAGCTTATTTATTAATAAATATAATTTCTAGCTGGGCGGTGGTGGCGCACGCCTTTAATCCCAGCACTTGGGAGGCTGAGGCAGGCAGATTTCTGAGTTCGAGGCCAGCCTGGTCTACAGAGTGAGTTCCAGGACAGCCAGGGCTACACAGAGAAACCCTGTCTCGAAAAACCACTAAATAAATAAATAAATAAATAAATAAATAAATAAATAAATAAAATTTCTGAGGCAAAAAAGAATCTGTCCCCAAAGGGAGGGAAAAAAAAAGAATACTATGGGCCTTGGGTTTAGAAAAATAAAAATAAAAAAAAATAAAATAAAATTTAAAAACCCCACAAAGATTATTATTTAAAATTTTGAAGTAGACTGAGGCACTAATATTAATATGTATGCAAACAGATGCTTCAGACCCTTCAGATCTGCGTGGCCTCAGTGTTAATGAACTGCACTCAGTCATTCCACTTGTGGGCAATCTACACAGTTTCCTGGGCCAAAACCTAGGAACGTCCTTGTCATCTTCTGCAAGAATGAAGACCATTCTCAGCAACCAAATAACCCACATTCTGGAAAATGTCCACCTCGCTCTGAGGGGATTCGATGACTGTGAACCCTTCTGAGGTACTACAATAATATCAATGTAGGGCTGAGTCTCCTTGAAAAGAAAAGGAGGCTCCAGTTGAACAGGGTAGGAAACATGCATGAGCTGGCTGCTACCGGAACCATCTGTAGCCACTCCAGATCAAGTCCAAGGCTGTTAGACCCAGCTTCCATTTCAAGACTGAGCTCCGTGTGAGCCCATGTCTGTGCCCACGTCTCCATCAACCCCGTGGTTCAGAACAAGGGATCTCTCGGTTTGAACCACAGGGTTTGGCACAGGACAGGTGTTGTGTGTTCAGTATATCAAGCCTAGAAAGACGAGTTAGTCCTTGAAGGAAACGCTATTGTACTTGCTCTGAGTTACATGAGCTGCAGTTACAAGCCAAGAACGTGAGAAAGGTTTTAGATTGTGTCAGTGTTTCTGAAGAAGAAACAGTGCAGCTGGCTGATGACTGAGACCTTAATACACAACTGCAAAGTTCTGAATAGAAGAATGATTGGGGATATTTTTTGGCACAATGAAGACTTCTACTGATTTGCAGAGAGGGGGAAACCTTAGTAAAACAGTTAGTGTTCTCCCCTTGTTTGGCAACACTTGTTTTGAGATTGGTGCCGCCCACATGTGAGTGAGGTCATCTACTGGGGCATAAGAAACCTACACACAGAAAACCGACTCTCCCTCCCTCGTGGCCATCAACTGCCAGTAACTCCTTCAGCCCCGGCTCAAGCTCCTCAAGAGCCTTTCCCCAAACCTTGTTGGAATTTTAACCGGCTGGGTCTTAAGGTCTTGTGCAGGCAGCCATAGCTGCCGTGAATTCAAATGTGCAAAGACAAGTCATGTCCAGAAGATTATGTCTTCCCCATTGTCTGGCTCTTCCGTTCTTTCTGTCCTCTCCTCGTTAATGTTCCCTGAGCTTAGTGGGTGGAGAAGCAGGTCCGTGGAGATATCTCTTCTGTGGCTGAGTCCACACCTACTTATTCCTAGCACCTCGGACAGTTATGAGTGCCTTTGATAGCAGTATCTGGAAACAGGAAACTGGCTTTCCCAGTGTCTCCCAGAATGCTATTAAGATGAAATCATGCTGTACTTTTATCTACTTTTGTTTGTTTTAATGTCTGATAGGATCGGCCTGGTGCTTTAGACGTCACACTGTCCTCAGTGAATGAGTGAATCGCCAAGTCAACCTTGTGTGACAGTGAGCTCAGAGTCTTTCCTCTGTTCACTGAATTCTTCTGAGTGTCAGGCATTGTGCTGGACAATGAGGAAGTAGCAATGGGGGGGAGGGGGGAGAGAAGCAGGTATGGGGCTGCTCCAACAGGGCAGAGTTGACACTTTGTATCGTAAGGATTTTATCTTTAATTGTGTGTACATGTATGTCTTTGTGGGGGTTTGTTTGCACATACATGTGGGTGCCAGTGGAGATTAGGAGGGTGTATCTGACCCCCTGGAGCTAGAGTTATAGGTGGTTGTGAACTGACCAACATAGGTGCTGGGAACCAAGGTCAGGCCTTCTGCAGGAGCAGGGTGCACTCTTAATTGCTAAGCCATTTCTCCAGTCCCATCATGTAGTTTATGCTAATATCTGAATCCCAGCTCACATGGTAAAAAAAAGAACAGCAAGATGAGGTTGCAGCCAGAACTCTCTTCGACGTGCTCCGGGCCGGGGTCATGCCTAAATCAGTCATTCTGCCAGAGAGAATGTGTACATAGGAGTGAGCACTGCTGCCCGGGCCTAGACACATCTTCTCTGGACAGGCATGGCACCTTTCCAGAGCAGGGCAAATTGACTCCTCCTACCTGGGATGTCCTAGGAAAGGGACCTCCCCTCCCCTGGTGTTGTAACCACACTGGATTGGAGGAACACAGTCTTTGAATGCCGTCCCAACTACATCATTCAATCCCCTGTGTACCGGAAGCAGGGGCTCTCATCTAGATAGCCTCTCCTCAGAGCTACTGTGAAGCCCAGACCCTGGTCCCTAAAGTGGACAGGAGGGTCACAGTTTTAGAAAGGGTGATGAGAGGGGTCCTTTGGGAGAGTGGAGTTCATTTATTCAAGGACACTGATGCCCTTTCTAATTTCTCTTCAAGGAATTGCCTTTCCGACTAACATGCATGAGCATGTTCCTCTCTCTCTCTCTCTCTCTCTCTCTCTCTCTCTCTCTCTCTTTCTCTCTCTGTGTGTGTGTGTGTGTTTATGTGTGTTCAAGTACTTGTATGCATGTCTGTGTGGAGGTCAGAGGTCAACCTTGGGTGTCTTCCTTAGTCATTTTCCAGTTTATTTTTAAATTGTATTACACGTCTTTATTGGGAGGGCCAGCATGTGTCACGGCACCAGTGGGGAGCTCAGACAATTCTGGGAATTGATTCACACTCTGCCATGGGATCCCAGGGAGCAAAATCAGGCCATCAGGGTTGGCTGCAGGTGCTATAACTGGCAGAGCTACCTTGATGGTCCTACCTTAAAATTTTTTGTTGCATTTATTTACTTATGGGGGGGGTGCATGCCATGGATTGCTTATAGAGGTCAAAGGACAAGTTGTCGGAGTTTGTTTTCTCCCTCTTCCATGTGGGTATCACGAATTAAACTTGGGTTGTCAAGCTTGTTGGTAAGAGCCTTTACACACAGAGACATCTCCCTGGTCACCCCCACTATCTTTTTTTTTTTAATAAGACCTCTCATTTTTACCAGGAGCTCAATGACTGATCTGGTCTGGCTGGCCAGGAGGCCCCATTGTCTACCCATCTCCACCTTCCCAGCAAATGGGCTTCCAAGCCCGTGTCATCATACCCAGCTTTTTGACATAGTGCTGGGAATTGAACTCAGGACCTCATGCTTGTACAGCAAGCACCTTACCGACTGAGTCATCTCCCCAGCCCCTGCTTTGTATCTGAATTAGTAACACAAAGGCTTCCCCAACCTGTGCCCTTAACAAGTACCTACCAGAATCTGTTGGTGCTCTTTTTCTATCTCATAGCCTCCAAAATGGACTATGCCTGGTCTGGCCTGGATGACCTTATTGTTCAGAAGCTTGGCATAAACCTCTATAAAAGAAAGGTAGACACATCCCTCGTGAGCTATCAAAGAGAGCATTGCACTGAAGAAGTTCTTATTGGTATGAGCTGTCTTTAGTTTAGGGATCTTTAAGCACAGTGGGTTTAGCTGAAATAAGATTGATTCTGAATCCCAAAAGAAATTGGACTGAGTCTCCTTTTCTATTTTTTAAAAAAAAAATATTTAATTTAATTTGTCTGTCTGTCTGTTTGTCTGTCTGTCTGTTTGTCTGTCTATCTATCTGTGTGTCTGTGTCGATCTACAGAAGTCAGAGGAGGATGTCTGATCCCCCAGAGCTGGAGCTCCGTGCAGCTGTGAGCTGCCTGGTATGAGTGATGGGAACGGACTCAAGTCTGCAGAGTCGGTGGATCAGTCTTCTCTGTCCCCTCTGTTCTGTCTGTGTTCATACGTGCATACTGTCCATTATAGTTCTCTGCCCTCCACATATGTCTTGCATGTCTTTGTGTGTGTGTGTGCTTGTGGAGGTCAAAGGACCACCTCTGGGGTCATGCTTCATGTGCTATCCACTTTTCTCTTGATTTCTGAGTGTGTGAGGTGTCTCACAGGCCTGAAACTTAGAAGATAGACTAGGCTAGTTGGCCAGTGAGCTCCAGGGAGGCGCCTGGCTCTGCTCCCCTAGAGCTGGGACAACAAACACATATCACAGAGATGTGAATTTTCTTGTTGTTGTTGTTGTTGCTGCTGGTGGTGGTGGCGGTGGTGGTGGTGGTGTGTGTGTGTATTTTTACAGGGGTTGTAGGATTTGATTCAGGTCCTTATGGGTTCTAGGCAAGAACTTTACTGGCTGGGCCATCTTCCTAGCCCATGTTACACACATTTACATAAAGGCTGCAAAATGAGAATGTGAAAAAAAAAACAACTTGTTTCTTAGTTAGAGTTACTATTGCTGTGATAAAACACTGCCACCAAAATCAACTTGGGGAGGAGAGGGTTTGGCTTATGAGTCCTACTGAATCACAGCCATTGAAGGAATGTGATGCAGGAACTCAAACTGAGCAGAAACCTGGAGGCAGGAGCTGATGCTCTCTGTGGCTTGCTCAGCCTATTTTCTTATAGAACCCAAGGCCACCAGCCCAGGGATGGCCCCACCCACAATCGGTTGGATTTCTATCAATCACCAATTAAGAAACTTCACTCTGGGTCCTCCTACAGTCTGAAGCACTTCTCAACTGAGGTTCTCTCCTCTCAGATGACTTGATCTTGGGTTAAGTTGACATTAAACTATCCAGCAGACCTTGGCAAAAGGTTGACAAATATTAGTATAAAAAGTGGCTGGAACCCTCTCCCCTCTGGAGCCACTGGCACGGACACAGTCACTTCGGGGTGTCTGAAAGTGACATGTGACACATTATAACACTGAAACACGTACCCTTGGATGGAGATTTGATATGCCAATGAGACATGTATTACATGAAACTGTATGTTAAACCTCATATAACAGAAAGCATTTGTGAGAGAGAACCAGCTCCATACAAATGCTCCAAAAGCCTGCACTACAACATAAAAGCCTCCACTCTGCATAGTAGGGCCTTTTGAACTTCTAAACTCTCTCCCTGTTCTGACCGACCTCTCTCTTCTTTGAAGTATGCTGGCTTTCCTCTTTGCCCTGCCCCATTGTGTATACTTGTGTGTGTATGTGTGTGTGTGTGCACATTTATGTGTGCTCCAGTGAAGTGTCATTCCTTAGAAGCCATACACTTTTCTAGTGACGGGGTTCTCACCTTCCCCTAGAACTCCTATTCAACTGTGCTGGCTTACCAGTGAGCCCTTGATTCTCCTGTCTCTACCTCCCAGCCCTGGGGTTACACGTGCAGGTTTCCCATGCCTGGCTGTCTGGAGGCACTCGGCAGGACGCCCGGCTTGTGCACCTCACTCTATTGACTGAGTCTCCCCCTCCCCATGCTCTAGCTCTCACATACACCTGCTCCTGCTAATCTCCACATCTCCGGTTCCTTGTCCTGAGTCACAAGAACCTGGAAACCCCCTGGAGGTGCCTTCTAAACCCTAACCACACCAATATGGAGCCGTGTCTCCTCCCCCGCCCCCATGTGGAAGTGGAGCACAGACTCACAACTCGTGGATAGCTGGTCATCAGCGAGCAAGCAGCTCTGGCCAGTGAGCCAATAACTATTTTCTCTCCTTTTTTTTTTTAAGTTAGGGTCTCCTGTACCTCAGGCTGCATCAAGCTCACTATCTAGCCAAAGGATAATCTCAAACTTCTAATTCTGCTGCCTTCATCTCCTGAGGGCCAAGTTACAGATGTGTGCTAGCTGCCACATTCGATTTCCAGGGTGCTGGAGATGGAAGCCAGGGCCTCACGCATACTAGGCAAGGGCTCTAACAACCAAGCTACAACTCTGATCCATTTCAGATATTTTTCTAATGCTAATCTTTTAAAAACATTTGTTTTAGGATCACAAAGCAGCATGCTGTGCTCCTGACCAGAAACAGTGAAGTATGACACTGTACTTGACAGTTCTAAGCTGACAAAAGAGCCTTTGGAACAGATGCATTTCTAAGGTTTAAGGTGGGTCTTGAGCGATTGGTGCCTTTGTGTTGAGGGTGTGGTTAGTTTTAATTATAACCTTGACACAACCTACAGTGACCTGGGAGAAGAGTCTCAATGAAGGACTGTCTAGAATCTAGATTCTAGATCTAGACTCTAGATCAAGTTATTGTAGAGAGAATATCTCGTGTATTGTATGGATGCATCACCTGCCAATTAAAAAAGCTTATGGCCTATGGTTTAGGAAGGAAATAGAGGTGGAACATCCAGGAGGAAAAAAGAATTCTGAGATAGAGTCAGGCAGGAGATCTGCCAGGGGAGATATGAGACAGACAGACACATGGTACCTGGGCACAGGTAACCAGCCATATGGCAGAATGTAGATTAAATTAAATACACTATCTTAAGTTATGATTCTAACCAGAGAAGAGCCTAGCTATTTGGCCAAGGTACTTGTAAATATATTTTGAGTCTGAGTCTTATTTCTAGGAGCATGGGACTGGGAGGAAGAACTGGGTCCTAACTTCAACAAGCTGACCTTGTAGACACATCTGTGGTAGACCGTCTTGACGTGGGAAGACCCAGGCTGAAACTGTAGGGGACCATTCCCTGATTTGGGGGTCCTGGACCATATAAAAGAAGCCAGCTGAGCATGAGCATGCATTCATTCTCTCTCTGCTCTTGACTCTGGGTGACATGACTGGCTGCTTCAAGTTCCTGCCTTGAACGCCTTGCTTTGACGGACTGTGAGCCGAAGTAGACCCTTTCTCCCCTAGTTGCCGCTGTCAGGGAATTTCACCACAGCAGTGGAAATAAAACCAAGATGGGGTGATAAACATGTCGGTGGGGAGCTGGACTGCTGAATGCCCTCTCCTCCCTCACAAGGTACCCACTTCCAGCAAATGGTGGGACCTTCCCACGTGTCAGCTGCGCCAATTGAGAACACAAGTAGAATGTTTTCAGAAAGTTGTTGTATGACTCGAAGATGAAACTCACGCAGAGCCATAGTTATCCTCTCCCATCAGGCTACGGGGGTTTCCAGAGGCTTTTCTGTGATACACACAAAAGGGTGAAGTGTCCCCTGTCTGAAGGAGCAGAGTGACCCATGTGGCTGGGGATGAGTCAGATAGGATATGTGGATATGTGGATATGGCAAAGGTGTCTGGTCAGGCAGCTGAGGGTGAGGTAGGAAAGAGTGATAGAAAAAACTGGGGGGACTTGAAAAAGGAGGGGAGCCCCTCACCCTAGCCAAAGCCTCTTATCAGCACAGAAGCAAGAGTCCAGCACAATCTACATTGCCTAAGGCCTTTCTGCCTTCCCAGCTGTAAACCTAGACTTGCCTGAGAACATCATCAGAAGCTCATTGACAAGGAACAACCGTGGGAATGCGCCTGTGCAGACCCCATGGTTTCTTGTTTTACTTTCTCAGATTATAACCCATCGAAGAATTGCTGGAGTCACCCTGTTATGCCTCCAGAAGAGAGAAAAGGACAGAAAAGAGTTCTTAGCAACCTGCTGAAATGTATCCCAAGAGCCATATATACTCGTTAGTATATATGTCCACTAACAAGGCAGTTAATTACAGCTGTCTGTCCAGGAGCCTGCCACACTTGGGTTCATGTTCCTCCCTGTGACTTTCATGGAGTTGCCTGCATCAATGCCCTTGTCTTGTTTTCTGCCGAGCACCTCTCTTTCTTTTAACCCTTGTGCCAAAGACATCATCAAGATATATTTTGTAATTAAAATGTATTTTATAGTAATATAATATATCTGCTTCCTAAACTGGCTAGTTCTGAACATTTTTCTGTGTCAAAGAAATGAATCCTGGTTTGGGCCAAGTGAGATTCTTAAAGATTAGGGCAGCTCCTCAGGCTGCTGAGGTTGACAGTGTCAGCCCCTCTGTCTCCTCATGCTTATCAGAACTGTGACTTCGTCCAGTATACAAAGAGCTGTTGACAGTATTGGAGCAGGGCAGAGATGGGAGTAAGGGGCTCTAGAAGGGAAACCAGGAGTGTAGATACTGAGGTAAGAAGCATGGCAGTCTCAAAACTGGCTGAGGATGGAAATTGTGGTGTTACAGGCAAATAGTGGACACTGGAGGGTGCTCCTGGAGGGTGCTCCCTGGGATGTCTATGTTCTTACATCCCAGAGCAAAGAATTGCATCAGGGACACATGAATGGCAATAAAAACATAAATAGTTTATTAAGAAAGAAAAGCACTTCAGGAAACGGAAGTGGGTGGGGCTGGGGAAAGGTCTGAGGCTCAATGGTGGATGATGAACCACCAGGATCAGGATTCTTCCAGCCCAGTGTGGTGGGCTTTCGGTTATCTGCATAACAGTCTCATTTTCTCCACATGCCTGTGACATGTCAGCATTAGCCTTGGTCGGAGAGTATTCCAGGCTTTCTCTGATATTGTTTTTTTATTCAAGTGTTAACCGTGTGTGTGTGTGTGTGTGTGTGTGTGTGTGTGTACTGTACAACCTTGGGTGTTACTCACTGTCCACATTGTTTTGTAAGGCAGGGTCTCCTATCTTGACTAGGCAGGCTGGCCAGTGAGCCTCAGGGCTCCCTGATCCTCAGGGGTCTTCCTCAGTGCTAGGATTACAAGCGTTTGATGTCCATGTTTTTTGTCCATGTGGGAGCTGGGGTTAAAACCAACATCCTCGTGCTTACAAGACAAGTGCTTTACCTACTGACCTCATGTGCCTCGCTCCCCATCCTACTTCTCCTTACACAGTGGGACAGACAGGAACAATGTGTAAAGAAATGGAAGTCACTGAACTTGTGAGTAATTTTTACCACAAAAATTTATTGTCTGGAGGCAGGAGGAATGGCTCAGCGGTTAAAAGCACTTCTAACTCTTCATGTAGACCTGAGTTTGGTTCTTAGCACCTATGCTGGATGATTTACAAATGCCTGTGACCCCTGATCCAAGGCATCTGAGGGGCTCGTATAGCCTCCGTAAGCACCCACAACACATGTTCCATATACACATAAACGGATACATAAATGAAAATAAGTATATTCAAAAATCTACCATTTAAGCAGCTAGCTCTAAATAGAATTACCAGTCTTAATAATAAAATCTATTATGAGCCTATACAGAGTGATACAGCTAGATTAGCTCCCACAATCCCAGCTTCCTGGACTCTGGATTCCTTGGAGATGTAACTCATAGGCAAGGGCTTGCTGCCCACTTACTGGACTCCAGAAGGTGGTTAGGCACTTCACTTCTTTTCTTGGGCTCCTCCACCAGGCTCTTCAAGAGGAGGGGTGACATCTTATCAAAGGGTTCTTTTTCGTGTTTTAGTTCCTGCATGGGGCTTTTTACAGCTGCCATCTCTTTGTGAAAAAAAATGGAGCTTTCTGTCTAGGGTCAAAGGTTATTTCCTGGGAAGAAAAACAGGAGTCTTAGAATTATCATGAGAAATCACGCACATATTTCTTCTCAGTTTTTGACAAATGAACCTCTTGTCTCTACATGGTGTGCTGTGCCTCAGGCCCCCTCTGCCTCTCATTTACTGGACACTGCATTCCCACACAGGACTGTCTCATTAATCATTTGACAAAACACACCATAACCCAATATGGCAACACGCTCCAAACTCTCCCATGACTCTCTTGAGCTTTTCTTAAATGTGTTCCTGAGATGCTTCTTGGGCACATGGCGGGAGGGGGAGAGAAAGAAAGAACTCTCAAGGGCTAATACATTTGGAAAGTGCCCTAGTTTTCTGTTGTTAATGACAAGACATCCCAACAAAAAAATTGATATAGGGGGAGGAAAAGGTTTATTTGGGCTTACAACTCCAGATCATCGAGGGGAAACTGAGGCAGAAACTCAAACAACTAATCACATTAACACCTGAAGTCAAAAGCAGAGAGAAACGAATGCTCCCATGTTAGCTGTTCCCTTTTGCTTCCTAGCTTACTTCACTCTTACATAGTTAAGAGCCTAGGGCATGGTGCTGCCCACAGTAGGCAGAGTCTTCTCATATCAATTAACAATTAGATACCCAGAGACCAAACTGATCTAAATAACTCCTCATTCAGACTCTTCCCAGATGATTCTAGATTGTGTCAAGTTGACAGTTAAAAGTCTTCTTTCTGACATGTCTGCACATCACATTCACAGAGATGTGAACAAGGGTCCTTTCAACATATTGAGTGTTTGCAAGATACAGGCATTCATATGTCACCTTCTGGACCTGTCTGCTAATAGGAGGTGGTAGAGGGGTGATTGAGCCTGGAGGTGGCCTGGGGCATGCCTAGGACTCAGGGTCAAGACTATTTTCAGTTGACAGTCATTAGAAGTTCCACTTTCCTCAGAAACACCCATTCCCAACCCTAACATTCTTTCTCAATTGCTATTTTAGAAGTCATTTGGCATCAACGATATTGCCTTGAAACAAAACTTCACAAATTTCACATTTTAAAAACATTTATTATTTTATGCAAATGGTAGGGAACAGAAAGTGCACATGTGGAGGTCAGAAGACAACTCTGTGCAGTTGCTTGTCTCCTCCCCCTCTTGTGTGGGCTGAGGGGATTAAACTTGGGTCATCAGGCTTGCAAAGCAAGCACATTTACCTACTGGGCTCCCAATCCCACATTTTCTGTTTGACTCCTTCAAACAAGCCAAGAGGCTGTTTGGAGAATCCCCTGAAATTGAAGGTAAAATCAAGAATGCACGTTTATGGGTTTTGCCTTTTGTTTTCCCTGGAGAAGTTCCATAGCTTTCAAGAAGACACAAGAGAATGTAGAGATACAGCGAGGTTGTCAGTACAGTAGCTGTGTAACAATCATTTCCAGTAATAAGTTGGGCTGGCCTTTCCCCAGCGTCCTGTACAGTAGCAAAGGCTCACAATCCTCAACACGAGCTGGAGAACCCGCTAACACACACTTCCTTCCCTCCACACTCCCTCTGCCTTCCAATACCTGCCCCAACTTCACCTCCAACCCCTGCTGCTCTTGGTCGGATACAGTCATTATCTGTGTTTCCGGTAGGGTAGCTGGACTGGGCCCCACCCTTGTTAATCCCCTCTTCTTTCACGCCAATCCAAGCTAAAGGGGTAGGTAGACTCACTCCTATCACCATCATTTGTTTGAGCCTCACCTCGCCCCCACCCCGACCTGATCCCTAGATAAATATCTAGGGGATCTGCCTGGGGGTTCTCGCTGCTTTAGTAGCTTGGCGACCACCTTGGGACACTCGAGCCACTAGTCCAAAGCCTCTTACCCTGCAGATGATAGTTCCGGGGCGGGCGCGCAGGAACCTACTTAGAGCGTCGCCATGACAACGCGGACGCTTTCCCAGGACGTGCTGGGGGACGAGCCCAAACGGCCCCCAAACGTGGGGGAAGATGGGCGGTTTCTGTTCTGGAACAAGGATTAAGTTCTTTGGGTTCGAAACAGTTTGCAGAGCCCGAGAAAGACCAGAGAGCGCCACTTACTATATGGAAAACTAATGGATCCCCAGAGGAGCAGAGAAAGTTTGGCCACCCTGCGGGCTGGGGAGCTTGCCTGAGCAGATGGGGGCGGGGCCCCGGCCCAGTGGGCGGGACCTCCTGTCCAGTCTGCTTTTTTTTCTCCCTCCCAGTTTCACACTTTGATTTATGGTAAAGTTTGTACACTAGCAAAGTTAGGCAGTATGCTAAAAAGAAGCTCCCTTTCTCCTGCTGCAACCATGGTCAAATCTCAGCCAATCTAGTTTCATTTGTACTTTCTATTATTTTGAAGAAAGTCCCACATTGTCTTGCATACTTTTAAAAAATAGTGTATCTTTTATTTCTTCTTTGACAATTTCGTACATGTAAACAATGTATCTTTATCATATGCACCCCAAGCCTGGCCCAAGAGCCTTCAATAAGTCCCTCTCCCACCACATTATCTTCTCTTCTGTTAATAACCTACTGACTCCAATTAGTGTCCACTGCTGGAATGCTGACCTGACCTTGTGCAGGTCTGGTGGAGATAACGATGCAGCAGGGAGTTCACGGTGCTATGGCATGTCACGGCCAGAAGACAGCATTTCACAGCACTCCTGTCTTCCTCTGGCTCATCATTCTCTCCGCCCCACTTCTTTGATTTTCCTTGAGTGTTGGGTTGACATAGATGTTTTATTTAGGCCAAGCACTCAGGAGACGCTTATTCTAAGCACTCTGACCGCTTATGAATCTCTGCATAAACCTGTGCCTACTACAGAGAGCAGCTTCCCCGGCCAAGGTTAAGGCTCTTCTAATCCATGAGTATAACCACAAATACTTAGAAGGCATTTTGGCAACATGCGGTTTAGCAAAACAGCAGGAGTAGGTTCTTAGAGTGCTGGCCCAGCAGACACCAGCTTTTGACTGGGCTCATGGCACCAGGCCTGAATTCCTACCTGTGAAGAAGACTTTAAGTCTAATCCAAAAGCGTTGGAAGTTTACAGCATCCACTCCACATTCTCTCTTTCCAGTGTCTCTTCTGGTCTCTCTCTTTTTCTGTATGACTTGAACCTTGATGTTATTTATACAGTCACATGTGAGGAGACTCTGGATTACAGTCTAGACGGTGTCTAACCTCCTGTATACTGTATACTTCTACACCTGTTGTGCTGGATGTAACCCTTTCCCCATCTGAAAGGTTCATTGCTTTTTGTTTGGTCTGGTTTGATTCCACTTTTCCCTCTGTCCTTACCACCATTCCTACCTATAAAAAAACAAAACCAAAAAACAAAACTAAAACCTCATCTTGAGACTGGAAGGGTGGCTCAGTGGTTAAGTGTACTTGCTTCCAAGCCTGATGGCCTTAGTTAGATCCCTAAATCCATCTGATGGAAGGAGAGAAGTGATTCCTGTAAGTTGTCCTCTTACCTCCACATGTGTTCTTTGGCACGCAGGCACGTGGGCACACACACACACAAAGACAGACACATACACACTCACACACACTATATGTAGAAAATTACAGTAACCTCATCTTTCAACACTGGCACTGGGTAAGATTCACTTTCAACCAGAAATCTCTCTATATGAGGGGTTTGAGCCCCTGCTCCCCCTGCCTCTACCACTCACGTGTTGGAGATGTAGGTGTGTGCCACCACACCCAAGCTCCATCTTTATCTCTTATAACAGTTATATCTTTGTATGTTACACCCCTCAATGTTTGTGTAATGCGCCTTGTGTTTGGTTTCAAGAAACCTCATACATCTCAGGCTGACTTAAAACTTTGCTATGTAGCCCGGGTTGGCCTTGATGTTTTTATTTTCTTGCTCCCACCGTCCCACGGTTGGAATTGCAAATGTGCACCATCACTCTCCATGTGTATGCAGTGCTGCGTGGCTGGGAAGCTGGAGGGCATGCTGGGCAGCCACGCTACATCCCCAGCTCTATGCATAGGCCCCACCAGCAAAACTCTTAGGGAAGGGCCTCGTGTCTCTGGCTCTCCCATAGCCCTTGATGCTGTTCTTAGTCCACAGTGATTACTCACGGTGGTTACTGTTGGCCGAGAGAATGAACATCGTCATTGGGTGAGCTCACAGGTTGCTTTAGTTCCTTCTTTTTTGTGCCCCAACAGAACAAGACTTCAGGAAAGCAGACAAGCACCCATCTTCCAGAACTCATGCCCCTATCCCCAGCATGGACTATAAGATGTTTCCATGCACTTACGTATGTAGGTATGTATTGTGCTGCGTTTAAAATGTGAACTGAGCATTTTTCTTAGTAAGAATGTATTTCCTATTATACATAGAAAGTACCCACGTGGTCACATAGCAATTAGCAGCAGGGCCTGTTGTCATATGTGGTCACCATCTGTTGTCAATGTCCACTGTCTCATAGCAGCTCGGGTAGCAGCATCTGCTGCATCCAGGCCAAGCATAGATGCTTGATGAATTTAGGGCTGGACACGTCATCCAACTCTGGCTACTGAGACTCTAGCTCCTGGGAGAAGTCTGTAGACAGCTTTCTCTCTGGTAAGGACAGACAGAGATATACTACTGCACTAGGTACTTTCCCAAAGCCATGACAAAATGCTTGACAAAAGCAACTTTAAAAAGGATGGGTTTGTTTTGGCTTAGTTCAGGAGTATAGTCCACCATGGGGATGCTGTGCCAACCACAGGAGAGGTGGCTGGTCACATTCAATCCTCAGTCTGGAAGCAGAGCAGATGGCTGCTGGTGCTCATCTCTCTCTCTCTCTCTCTCTCTCTCTCTCTCTTCCTTCCTCCTTCCTTCTTTTCTTTTTTTTTCATCCCATTTTTTTTCCATGAAATGGTGCTGCCTACATTTAGGGTGTGTCTATCCACCTCAAGTTAGCCACTCTGAAAAGTCCCACAGACAAGTCTAGAGATTTGTCTCCTAGG